TGATCTCCACCTTGCCAGGGTCCAGCTCCACGTACTTCTTCTCCTCAAACACGCGGGTGATGGTGGGTCCCAGGACGGCGTGCAGGTATGGCATCCCCGTCACCTGCCAAGGGACCGCACAGGGAACAGTGATGGGGCCACGGCCACAGGTTTGGCACCAGACACCCCCAGACTCCCCGATAAGGGTCTCCCAGGGGATTTTCTCCAACCTCCCAGCCCCAGGGGAAGACACAGCCCCACCAGCCCTCCCAGTACTCCCCCCGGGAACTGGCCCCAGAGCCGGGTGACCTGGGAAGAGCAGGTTTCGGGCAGTGTGGCACCTTGAGGAAGGACTCCATTGACTTGGAGGCCAGGGAGTTGCTCCGGAACAAAGTGTTGGGCTCACCTGCAAAACAGGAGAGGGTCTGTGGCCTGGGGGACGGCCACAGGTCAGCCACCGGGCAGCTGCAATCATGGGGGGTATTTACAGGGGCTGTGCCCTCCATCCCTGGCCCTTTCCATGGGAGTTACAGGGACTTCCTAACCTCAAATCACCGTCTCCTCCACCAACCTCAGCCAACCTCAGCCCATGAGTTGCTCAGGATGAACCCAACAGGTTCCCACCCGGAGTACAGCATGATGGCCGAACCTCAACTGTCACCCCCAAAAAAATCACCACGCAAGGTCCTGGAGGTTTTGCAGCCCCAGGAGATGGCTGGAAGCTTCCGGCTCCGCTCCCCACACCAGCCTTACAGGGCTTGGCCAGCTCCAGCTCAAAGAGCAGGTCCAGGAACTCCTTGACCAGCCCTTGGCCCAGGAAGAGTTTGACCAAGTTGATGGCGACCTCCTGCCGGCACTCGGCCGTGGTGGTTTCATCCAGGAGGGTGAGCAGGTGCACTTGGCCGTCCTGGTGGGGAGAGGCACCACGACGTGATGGCCCGAGGGAGATGCATGCCCAGGCAGAGCTAGAGGAAGGCGGGTGCCCCAGCAGGGCTTTGCATGGACCCCTCACCTGGCGCCCCGACTTCACCTCCTGGCACAGGAGCTGGACCAGGGGCTGGTAGCAGTGGGAGGGCAGCACCGTCTCGTCCCGCAGCCTCACCTGCAGCTGCAGTGAGCCCAGGCTGCCTTGGCGCCTGCAGGAGCACAGGGTGGGTGGACGGAGGGATGGAGAAGTACTTCACCAAGCAGGAGGTGGCCTGACAGCCTGGGAAAGCCTGGGCAGGCAGGCGGGGCTGCCCTGCACTTGCCCCCCCTCCCAGACAAGGGCATTTCCCTCCAAAGGGATGATGCTTCCCAGGAATGACCCCCTCCCCAAGGCCCCTGAGGGCACCGGGACCACCGCAGCACATCCCAGCACCCCCGTGCTGAGACTCACTCATCCTCCCTCGGCTTAGACTTGTCTGGATGCAGCCTGAACCAGCCCTCCTCCTGCCCGGCCGCCTCCAGCCCCTGGATGCTGAACACCACCTGGGAGGGGAGGGCAGGAGGGGATCGGGCGGGCAGCCAGGCAGGCCCGCCCGGCAGCAGTGAGGGGGTTTGGGAGCTCACCTTGCCCAAGAAGTCGTTCTTGCCAACGAGATCCCAGTCCCACACCTCCACGCACAGCTTCTCCTCGGTGGGCTCGGCCAGCTCAAACTCGAAGGTCTCGTTCCAGCGGGGGTAGCAGGATTTCTTGACCACCTGCAAAGGCAATGGCTTCATCCCCCCTCGCCGGGTGGATCCAACACCTCCCTGGGGACACCAAGCCACGGATGCCAGGGGACAGGCGTGGCTCCTAGCCAAGGTTCGGGCTTCCCAGGGGGATGATTTCACCTGCACTGCCGGCAGGTTGGGGGATTACAATAAAATGAATCTGTACTCACAGTGCTCTCCTGCACCTTCCCGTTGTAGCGCAAGCGGACAAAGGGGTCGGAGGCGCCATTCCGGTCCTTCCTGGCCAAATCCCTGCCAAGAAGAGGGGGAATTTGCCAGTATCCTCCCAAAACACCTACAGGCATCCACAGCACCCACTCCTCTCCTCAGTTCCCCAGCATCTCGAGATGTATGCCCTAAAGACCAGCAGACAAGGTGGACCTGCTTTAGGACCCCCATCAGCTGCTGGGTGGTGGGGAGGATGCTCTGCACCCAAAGGAGGAGAAGATCCTGACACAGTGGGGAAACTGAGTCACAGAGCCGCCAGGACTCACTGTACACGTCCCGGCTGCACACACAGCCCCCTGCCACCCCCGTGTCCCCTCCTCACCTGGCCTCCAGCACGGTGCAGCACAGCCGCTGGCCGCCCTGCCTCCCCAGAACCTCCACCTGCAGGTGGATCTCCCCCTGCACCTCCTCGTCAGGGTCCACCTCGCTGAGGCTCACCCAGCCGCTGTAGCCTGTGGGAAAAGGGGGCACCCCCATGGGGGAGGCAGTGGGGGGGCCCTCAGGACCAGCTCATCACAGGGGTGGGAGATGGGTCCCCGCTGGGACCCTCCTGGCCATGCGTCCCCCTACCCTTGGGGTGCTCTGCCAGCATGTCCCGGGTGATGCAGATCTTCCCGATAACGTCATCGCGGCTGGAAAACAAAAGCCGGGAGCAGGACACGGTGTGGGATTGGAGTCTGCCCGCTCCACCGGGCCCCAGGCAGGACAGGCCCTGCCGTGCATTTCAGGGGGGAAAAAAGGTGCCCGGGTGTCCTGGGATGGGGCCACCACGGTGTGTCTGTCCCCATGGAGCACATCAGCCACCCTTTGCTGCCAGCTGGAAAATAACCGCGGGAAATAACTTCACCCATTTGTGTCCCAAAGCCCAAGCCAGCATGGCCAGGTGTGGATTCTCTGGTGTCTACAATGGGGTTGAGCATGCAGGCAGCCAAAGCCATCAACCTCTGAGTGCCCATGCCCAGTCCCCACCACCCCACAGCCAACTTGACCATACCTGAGAGCATCCTCATCCATGACGTAGATGGAGACGCTGTGAAAGGTGGGCTGGAGTTGCACCTCATATTCCTCCCCCCAGAATGGGGACAGCGTCTTCCACACTGTGGCAGTCCTGCGGGTCAGATGGCACCGGTGACGGGGAGGACAGGGCTCCCTTGCCGGGGCACTCCCCACCTCCCCAGCCCTGTGAACTTCCCAGCTTTTGGTGACACATGGCTGGGGGCAGCACCCACAGTTTTGAACCCTCAGCTGGGGCAGGGTCCCTGTCCCGTCTTGTGGCTCTGGGCTGGCAAGATGTGGGGGGTGGCCAGGAGCTGCTGGACATTGCAGCCTGTGTCTGGGGGAGTGGCTCAGCCCAAAGCAGGGAATAATAATAATAGCAGTAGTAGTAGTAGTAGTAGTAATGTGCCTGCAGCAGGGTAGATGGAAGAACCCGCCAGGAGCCGGGTGTGCTGGCAGGTTTGGGGACCAGCCAGGGACATGGAGCCACTCACCTGATGATGGCCTCATCGTCGATCTTCACGATGCAGTACGGGTCGCTGCTCCCCGTGCTGGAAGGACACAGCATGGCCCTGTCAGCA